AGAACTCCTGTAACGCTAGCACTTCAATCACACAACTAGCCTGTTATTAAAAAAAACCCTTCTTTGATATCAGTCAGTTTATTCACTTAATACTTGTCTACTTGCTCTTCAACTCACAGAATCAGAGCAAGATTAAAAGCATTTCCTACCTACAGAGACAAAACTACTTATCCAGTCTAAATCATATGCTTGTGCTAGCAGAGGGATGAACAGGGTAAAACATGTTGCTTCACAGGTAATTTCTCTTCTCCTGTCTCAACATGACCAATATTACAACTAATGCCTACGTTTCTGTGAAATCAGAATCTTTAGCTGTCGTTTGACATGGGCAAAAACAAAAGGAAACCTGGATTCATGGATCCAACATTCTCCAAGAACATATTTAACAGAGAATTGGGGGGGGGGCTGCCAGTGTGATGCCAAATGCGTGTGTAAACACTCTTTCCATGGCCTTGATCCATTAAAATGAAACTGGGTTAAGAAAACATTTAGACTGCAAAAGGGCCATGCATCCAACTGGGCCACTTAAAGAATGCCATAAAGGGCTTCTACTAACAAGAGCTGAGATTTCTTTTATCCTCATGCTATCTGTAAGTGTCCAGGATAAAAGAAGCAATGTTACCAACTAAAAGTAAGTTAAGAAAAAATGATGGCTTCTAAACTGTGACCTATGAGAGTGCTCTTGGGTAGTTTCTGTTTACTGCTTAACATTTACTAAGGTAATAGCAGTAAATGTACTCTTTAAGATGAAGGGTTCATGCTTCAAAGTTCTGTTCCTATTGAAGGGATACGAAATATAATGGTTTGTGGCGGCATTTCCCATCCATGGAATGAAAGATAAAAAAATTAAGTGATTACACATCACATTTTCTGAGGCATAATACAACTTTTTAGAACACTAGTCCAACCACCCTAAACTATTTTCTTAGCATTTCTGCTTAAAATTGCTATTTTCAACTCTACTATTTAAACTTCATAAACTTGAAAGTGACCTTCACAGACTTTCTGGGAGCCAGAAGCAACTCACATACTGTCCCCTTGGATACAGAGGGAAACCATTCTTCTAGCTTCAGCATTCTTCAGGCCAAGAGATTTGCAGTGGCAGAAAGTGCCATCCAGTTGCCGCTGAACTTGTGCTGACCATATGCAGTTTTCAAGGGAAGAGACATTCAGAGGTGGTTTGTCATTTGCCCTCCTCTGCACAGAGATCCTGGGATTCCTTGGTGGTCTCCCTCCAAAGGCTAACTAGGGCTGACTATGCTTCGCTTCCGAGATCTGATGAGACAGGGCTAGCCCGGGCCATCTAGATCATGACAGGACTCACAATGTACTTCTACCTAAACCAACTAAATATCTGAAACACCAAGAAAATGGCTACATGGAAATGCCTTGTTACAACACAATCAAAGTAACAGAGCTAAATAATATGGAACACGCAACTTGAAACTGTTAAGCAATTTGTGGAGATTTTATATACATATACACTCACACACATGCGCGCAGTATGGTGCAATTAATGCTTAGAGTTTTGAACTGGGATCTGGGAGACACAGGTTTGATACCTCTGCCACAGAAGTTTGCTGGGCGGCCTAAAGCCAGTCATTTCCCCTCAGCCTAAACAATCTCACAGGGTTGCTGTGCAGATAAAACGGAAAAGAGGAGAGCTGCTTTTAGCTGTTTTCAGTCCCCACACTGAGGAGAAATGGCAGGGTATAATGAAATAAATAAAGCCAAATGTGGCTCAGTTAAATACCAGACCAAATACAGCTCTTTTAAAAGAGCAACTGAAATCTTTTAAGTTAAGGCATATTGCAGGAGTGGGTTGGATTCTTGAATAACCAGTAGGTGAAAGGAATGGCAGGCAAAAAAAATTTACCCAACTACATGGCTTTGTGGAGATGCTTTTACAGAAAAGGAAATGAAAGGGAAATGATAGAAGTGAACATATGCCACTGCTCCAAATGGAAACTATATGCAGATCTGCAATTTAGACATACAGATTTATACCAATCACACAGGGTGCTATTGTGAGCTCATGTGTACCCCCTTCCTAATAAAAGGCAACTAGTGTTGGGACTACAAAAACATTATGGATTATTAATTAACATGCCAAATACCAATAATGTAGCCTATCCTGCTATGCAAACAGACTTTCCTATACCGGCTCTAGATTGAGCACTAACACTGAACTTTGATGTAGTTCATATCTTTCACTGTAAGAGGTACTAAACCATGGGCTAAAATGTACATGAAGATGCCCTATACGGAGCCACACCCTTCATCTATCACCATTGGTATTATTTACTCAGAGTAGCAATGGCTCTCCAGAGTATCAGGCAGAGGTCTTTCACATCACCTGTTATCTGATCCAGGGGTTCCCCAACATGGTGCCTGTGGATGCCAAGGCACCCACCAACACCTTTCTTGGTGTCTGCCAATGGTTTTCAGAAAGTGGGCAGAGCTAGGTGAGGCTTTTGCTCAGCAAGGCTTCTGACTATCTATTAGAGAATTTTATTTTTGTATTTTTGTATCTGTGTGTGCACACATGCCTGGAAGCCATAGCAACCTCTGGTGACTCCTACTGGGGCATGGAGGACATTCAGAGAAGTGGCTTGATAGCCTGCCTCTGCCTCCCAGTCCTGGTATTCTCTGAAGGTCTCACATCCAAATACTTGCTAGGGTCGGCCCTACTTAGCTTCCAAGATCTGACAAGATCAGGCTTGCCTGGGCTATCCGGGTCAGGGCACCATTAGAGATTTGACTGACTGGGGCTGCGGTCACACGGAGCATTAGCCACGCTACAGAGACGGAAGATAGGCGGATTTTCCGGGCGCGATCAAACCGCAACATCTGGGAAGCATAGAGCTCCCATGGCGAACCCGAGGCTTTCCGCCGAAGATGCGCCATCTAAAATTAGTACCTCCGAGGTACTAGTTTCCGGAAACCGTGGGGCAAGGGCAGGCGTCTGATCACGTTTCCGGTGGTAGCTCGTGGCATTCGGCACCCGCCCATGTCTCGTCGCGAAAAGGGTGGTTTTTTTCAAGTCTCCACAGGATGCGCACAAGCACCCAACGGTGCATGCGCACACTTTGGTTAAAAAACAAACGCAACCCCCGCCGCGCCGCTTCTTTGCCGCGCCGCAGGATTTACGTATGATCGGCACCTCCCCCCGAACCACGGGACGTCGGTGGGACGTTTGATCCAGCAGACGTGCGGTAGTTCATTCCGGGGCAAACAGACACGCCTCCCCCCCCGTGATATCCGGCCATGTGACTGGGGCCAGGGCAGATTTTATTAAAAACTGGTTTAGCGGCAGCTGCTACCACAGCACCGTCACTGTGTGACTGACGGAAAGCTGCAGGAGCCATTTGTGACTGGCTCCACCTCCTGCAGCAGCCATTTTGTGGTTGCACCCACTATATGCCGTATCAGAAATGCACCCCCAGATTCAAAAAGGTTCAGGACCTCTGATCTGATCCTTTTAAACTGAGATCCTGGCAGCTGAGCCTGGGACATGCTTTGAGAAAAATAGATGATCTACCATTGAGCCATAGACCCTCCCAAAGGCTCTTTCATGAAGACGTCTCCACAGCCGCTAACAGAAATACTAAATTTAAAATCCATCCAGTTCGTGGCTAATAGGGTTTTTACTTGACGCAGATAGCCAACACAGACACCATTTTATCATACTAGTAGGTTTTAACTACACTATTCATTCAATTAGAACAGACAAATTATGTAAGGCAGGACAGAACCCGAGGGGGAAATGAGGATCATGTCACAAAGACAAGGAAATACAGGTAAGGAAGGTTTCAGGGAATGGCAGGTGATATAACATATTAGCAGGCTGATGACATTACTGACAAATGTCACTCATGAATCAATGTGAACAGGTTAACTAGAATCCATGTGCAGGGGCAAGGAGGAATTGCAGAAACAAACTGCTGTGTACATCCCAAGATTCCCCCCCCCCATTTCCATTTGATGTAATACATTGGGGAATGAGCTGAGGCAGGCTGACTTCAGCACATGTGAAGCAGTTCCCTTTTTGTCAAGACACTGCAAAGGCTTTGGGGAGTTAAATCATGGTGGTTTGGATTCACTACATTGGTGAGAAGAACCTAAACCCTAGTTCTGCATCAATAACTTCAAGAGCCCTATCAGCTGAATCCACAGGTCACCATGCTGCTTCATGGGGTTATTCTAGGGACCCATCAGGTCCACCCTAACTACAATGCGGGAGTGGGGAGAGAAAAGGAAGGGGGGAAAATAAAACACACCCTTAGCAACAGCCTACGAGGCTTATCTGTAACCGGCGAAGAGGAAATATTGCTTCAAGGACGCCACGATTCTCTCCCTCCCCATTCAATCCAGTCTCGTCCCTGCATTCCCTTATCTCGTACTCCTCTCAGTTAACCCTCCTTTAAAGCAACAGGGTGGAGGACACGCCAAAAAAAAGTCACCCTACCAACCACCTGGTCTTCTTTAGTCGCCTCTTTTAGCCCAGGGCTCTTTCGTAAACCGATTCCCACGTACGGGCGGCCACTGTCACGACACGCACATCAACCCACATCCCTTTGCAGGACTTGGGGGGGGGGGGGTAGCATCAAGCCCATCATGTGCGCGGAGGCTGGAAAAGACCTCACATTTCGCCCTCCTCAAATCCCACACACAGACCCCACCACCACCTCCTCCTCCATGATCCGCCCCGCAAGAGCAGCATTTCTGTCCGCCGACGCTTTCCCCCCCAGGTCCCACTACAGACGCAGCTGCCGCCCAGGTTTCTTCAGGCACCTCGCAGGGGAACGGCTCGGCAGGCCCACTCCCCCCTCCCTCCTTCTCCTCCGCCCCCCGCCCCGAGTCTGGACTCAGAGAGCGAAAAAGAGGAAGAATCCCTTCTTTCGCCCGCCCGCTCCCTCGCCCGCCTGCCTGCCTGCCTGCCTGCCTGCCGCCTCTCTCCACTCCCCTCCCGACTCCGAAACGGAATCCGCTACACTCACACAGGCTAAGAGCTGCCACCAGCAAAAGCGCAGGCAACCGAGCCGCCGCCGACGTCGCCCGCCGCCTCGGGCCACTGCCGACGCCGCCACCATCGCCGCCTCGCCTCGCCACTGCCGTTAGCGCCGTCGTCCTCGCCGCTGCCATTTTCCTGCCTCCACCTCCTTTTCCTCCCATTGTTTCACCCCCGCCCATTATTGGCGATGGGTGTGGAAAGAGGAGGGAATCTCCACACGGCGATTGAGCTCAGGGGCTGTCAATCACACACACCTCCTGAATCCCTCTTCTCCTTTCCGCCAGGCTCTGCCTTTGCCGTACCGTGATTGGGAAAACGAGTTAGCATTCATCTGAAGGAAGGCTCTGAGGCGGAGGCAGTGATCGTCCGGCCTTCTCTGGGGACACGTGACCTCGAGCTACCTTTGAGATCTGCGGGACGCAGGGGAGAGATTGCATACGTTGCTTATAGCTGTGGCACTGGTCCGTTTTACATGCTTGGGCGCTTTCATGAGTAGGTTGAGGTGGATTATTTTGCCCTCCTAATCCCGGCTATCATCACTATACCTGCTTGCAGTTCAACCCGTGGAATCTTCTCTCTATCGCGTTCATATGAGCATTCACCATGCACTACATGATGACCAAGGAGTCACTTTGTTTCCCATTAAATTTCATTGCAGCATTACAGTGCCTGCAAAGAACGTTTTCAGTGCGCCCCATGCTCCACGGAAATTTTTTGGAAAGATTTCCCTGCTTGGGAAAACCACAAACATCAGTACCATGCTACACTTAACAATCCATTCACTTACTCATATTGTACTAGCCAAGCTATAAATTCCTGCACCAAAACAAGATGGTGGTGTAAAGTGTCAAGTCACAGGTGATTTATGATCCAGAGGAATTAGCCCTGTTAGTCTGTTGCTGCAAAATAGTAAAAAACCCAGTAGCACGTTTAAGACTAACAAACTTTATTGTAGCATAAGCTTTCAAGAAACACAGCTGTCTTTGTCAGATGCATGGCGGGTATGAAGAAACTGGCCAGAGATATGTAGATGATAAGGGGGGGGATGCAGAAAAGGCCATGTAAATACAAAGCAGTTGCAAAAGTCATGAAAAAGTTGAATGCCCAATCCAGGCTGGGTGTGACCCCTTCTTTCTATTGATGAATCTGAATGAAATACCTGAAAGGCAGTTACTTCTGGTAATGAGATAACCATCCAAAGTCTCTATTCAATCCAAGTCTTGACTGAGTCAGATTTACATACGAATTCTATTTCCACAGATTCCCCTTGGATTTTGGTGTATTTGATTTTTAGCCTTTTGATAAGAAACGAAACCTAAATGAGTCAGCCATTCATCACTCTTTTTTCCACACTAAGAAACCAACCTTCCTGTGAGTTTCAGTGGAGTCATTGGGGGGTGGGGTGGGGAGAGGAGTAGATAAGGGCAAACTAGATTCTGAGCCTGGCAAGATAATTCTCACATATTAAACCTCAAACAGAAACATCTTTGTGTGTCATATCAAGTAGCATACACATTTCAGTAACATCTACAATTAAGGTTGTCATTTTAGGATTGCAGCCTTAAGGTTTTATTTCTTTTAACTCAGCTGTTGTCTTTAGGTGCTCCTAAAATACAATAAAGAATAATAATGGAGAATTTTCTGATTTTACGTGAACAAGTAGGTCTTAAGAACATAAGATGAGCCCTGCTGGATCAGACCAATGGTCCATCTAGTCCAGCATCCTGTCTTACACAGTGGCCAACCAGTTCCTCTGGATGGCCAACAACAGGGCATAGAGTCCAAAGCCTTCCCTGAAGTTACCTCTTGGCTCTGGGATTCAGATGCCTCTAAATGTGGAGGTTCCCCTCAGTCATCATGGCTAGTAGCCATTGATACTTATCCTCTATGAATCTATCTAATCCACTTTTAAAGCTGTTTATTCCTGTGGCCATCACTACACCCTCTGGCAGTGAATTCCATACTTTAATCACTCTGTGTAAAGAACTTCCTTTTGTCTGTCCTGAATCTACTGCCCATCAGTTTCATTGGATGCTCTCAAGTTCTAGTATTTTGAGAGAGGGAGAAAAATTTATCTGTCAACTCTCAAATTGCATAATTTTGTAAACTGAAAAGTCCCAGACTCTTCAGCCATCCATATGGCTGAGAGCCAGTTTGGTGTAGTGGTTAAGTGCGCGAACTCTAATCTGGGAGAACCAGGTTTGATTCCCCACTCCTCCACTTGCACCTGGCTGGATGACCTTGGGCAAGCCGTAGTTCTGATAAGAGCTGTTCTTGAAAAAGAGCAGTTTCTGTCAAGAGCTCTCTCAGCCCCACCTACCTTACAGGGTAACTGTTGTGGGGAGGGGAAGGGAAAGGAGTTTGTAAGCCGCTCTGAGACACCTTTGGGTAGTGAAGGGTGGGGTATAAATCCAATCTCTTCTCTTCTTCTTCTATATATATAGGAGAAAGTCCCCTCACCATAAAATCAACGTCCAGGCCAAACCACTGAACCTAGAAACACCAGATTCGGGGAGAGTGCTCCTACCATGACGTAGGTGCTCACTAAGAAGGGATTTTTAAAAAGAAATTCTACCCTTAAGGGGTTCAAAAGGGGTAAAATGTGCTCCCCCCCATTGATTTCTATGCGGCTGCCAGGCAGCAACCTCCCTCCCCCCTCACTCTCTGATTGGTCAGCTGCAGAGCTCAGTGTTCTGAGGTTAAAAAAAACAGTTACAGGGGACTACAGAGAGCTAATGGCAGTTGAGGAAATCAGGAGTGGCCAACTGCCTGTGAGGTGAAGCAATGCTGCTGGCCCAGCCTCCCTATGGCTTCAAACATGCTCCCCCCTCCTACACCTGACAGGCAGTTGTCTGTCAGATGCAGCAGAAGTTGCAGGGTGCTTAAAGCCACGAGGGAGTTACCGCCCTATTCAGTAATGACTTAGTGATCCTGCCAACCCCGCCTCCACAGTAGCTTCTAATACTCCTCCCCCTCCCCCTCCTACACTGGACAGGCAGCTGCCTGTCAGATGTAGGAGAGGAGGTGGGATGCTTACAGCCGCCGGGGAGCTTGGTCAGCAAGATTGCCTTAGCCCTGTTGCTGGCCAGCCTCCCTGATGCCATTAAACATGATCCCCCCCAACACCAGACAGGCGGGTGTCTGTCAGGTGTAGGAGCAGGGTACTTTAATCCATCAGGGACGCCACCCCAGCAGGATCACCTTAGCGGTGATCTGGCCCAGCCTCTCTGATGGCTTCAAACTCACTCCCCCCACCTCCTACACCTAACAGGCAGTTGTCTGTCAGGTGCAGCAGTGGTTGCAGGGTGCTTAAAGCCACAAGGGAGTTACCGCCCCATCAGCAACGTCTTAGTGATCCTGCCGCCCCCGCCCCCACAGTGGCTTCTAATACTCCTTCCCCCCTCCCCCTCCTACATTGGACAGGCAGCTGCCTGTCAGGTGTAGGAGAGGAGGTGGGATCCTTACAGCTGCCGGGGAGGTTTGGTCAGCAAGATTGCCTTAGCCCTGCTGCTGGCCCAGCCTCCTTGATGCCTTTAAACATAATACCCCAACACCAGACAGGCAGGTGTCTGTCAGGTATAGGAGAAGGGGCACCACCCCAGCAGGATCACCTTAGCGATGATGCTGGCCCAGCCTCTCTGATGGCTTCCAACACACTCCCCCCACCTCCTATATCTAACAGGCAGTTGTCTGTCAGCTGCAGCAGCGGTTGCAGGGTGCTTAAAGCCATGAGGGAGCCTGTCCCAGCAGTCTAAAAAGAAGTCCTTCAGTAGAGGGGGGGAAGTACGTATGTCTCACTTCATTTTTTACACTACAATCTTCTCCATTAGAATTCCTACAACAAATTTACATTTCAAACTTTACATCATCAGTATTATAATTGGATGTATGGATTTATTGGATTTAACATAGAGTTTGCCTTTTTCACTGATGCAGCACACTGGGTTGACACTTTCATTGAGTTATCCAGTACGACCACAAGATCTTTTCCCCTCTCAATCTCAGCAAGTTCAGACCCCATTAGCCTATACCTGAAGTTGGGGGTTTTGGTCCCAATGTGCATCATCTTACACTCACCAACAACGAACTTCATTTGCCACATTGTTGCCCACTCACCCAGTTTGTGGAGGTCCTCTTGGAGCTCTTCACAGTCAGCCTTGGTTTTCACCATCCTGAATAACTTGGTGTCATCTGCAAACTTGACCACTACACTACTCACTCCTAGTTCCAGATCACTGATGAATAAATTAAATAGTATCGGCCCCAATACCGATCCTTGTGAGACCCTATTGCTTACTTCCCTCCATTGTGAGACCTGTCCATTGCTTCCTACTCTTTGTTTCCTGTCATTTAACCAGTTTTTAATCTACGGGAGAACCCATCCTTTAAAAAAAGTGGTGGGTTTTTTTTGAGCCATGGTCTTCAGCCTTGTAGAGAAGCAGTATCAGGTGGTATAAAGAAGATGAAAAAGGTGCATTGAAAGAATAGGGGGTTTGGTATGGAAAACCTAAATTATTCTGTTATTGTGGCATATTTACTTTTCCGTTGAAACTGTTGGAATCCCTGATTTGGCTTAGGGCTCCAGGACATCCCAGACTACAAGGCAGGCTATTATACTCAATTTTGAGCTGCAATAGATTCATAGTTTGGGATGGCAGTAGACAAGATTTTCCTTCCACCTATCTTCCGTATTGCCAAGGAACATACTAATTTCTATCCCCAGCACTATACCCAGAATTTACCAAATGGTTTTGCCAACACATAGGGTTGCCAACCCGCAGGTGGCATTTGGAGGTATCCTGCTATTACAATTGATCTCCAGCTGACTAAGATCAGTTCCCCTGGAGAAAATGGCTGTTTTGGAGGGTGGACTCTATGGCATCATACCCTGCTGAGGTCCCACCCTCTCCCCAAATCTGCCTTCCCCAGGCTCCACCCCCAAACATCCAAATATTTCCTAACCCAGAGCTGGCAACCCTACCAATACACTATTTGAATCTTCTGCCTATGGGCCTAACAGCAGACTCTAACCTAGAAGAACTGGGTTTGATTTCCCAGTCCTTCACATGCAGCTGCTGGGTGACCTTGGGCAAGCCACAGTTCTCTCAGAGCTGTTCTCTCAAGAGCAGTTCCCAAAGAGCTCTCTCAGCC